TCTGAGTTATGAGTGAAACTCGAAAGTTTGTACATGACCAAATCGTTGGTCAATCGCCTCTACCTGAAACAAGCACTGTATTCATTCAAGATGAGTGAAGACAAACTTTTGGCTGAGCAGTTGGGTATGTTCAACAAACTGATTCTTGATCTTGAAAATATTGATGCCAAGATCGAGGATGAAGATCAAGCGTTGTTTTTGTTATGTGATTTACCCAGATCACATGTTCACTTCAAAGAAACTCTCTTGTATGGAAGAGAGTCGCTGACCTTTGAAGAAGTTCAATCAGCCTTGTATTCTAAGGATTTAAACGAACGAAAGGAGCACAAGCCATCTTATACTGATGAAGGTCTGTCGGTTAAGGAAAAATTCACAAAGAAAGGTGGCAAGTTCAACAAGAAGAAGGATAAAAGTCAACAGAAGTCTTATAATGGTGATATGTATCTGGTATTCGATGTTATCACTGTAAGAAGAGGTTCATATAAGAAAATTGTGCCCTGAACACCTGAAAGATCATGGAGGTAAGGATAATGACAATGCAGCCATTATTCAAGATGATTTCAACACATCTGATGTTCTTGTGGTTTCAAGCGGCGAATCAAGTAAAGAGTGAATTATGGATTCAGGTTGCACTTGGCGCATGACTCTAAACAAAGGTTGTTCGAGGAACTATGTGATCAACATGGTGGATTTGTATTGCTTGGAAACAATAAAGCTTGCAAGATTGTATGTGTTGAATCTGTGAGATTCAAGTTCCATAATGAGTCAATAATGTTATTGACTGAAGTCAGGTATGTACCTGATTTAAAGATAAATTTAATTTCTCTTGGTGAATTCGACAGGAAAGGATATGTTTTCAAATGAGAGAAAAGTATTTTGAATGTCATGAAGGGGTCAAAGAAAGTCTTAAGAGGTGTAAAAAAGACAAGGATTACATACCCTTGAGGTTGAAGTTGTAAGTGGTTCTACAGATGTTGTATCCACGAAACCTTCGTCGAAGACAAAAATCTGGCACATGAGATTGGGCCATGTCAGTGAAAGGGGTTGGTCGAACTGGGGAAACAAAATTTGCTTGGTGGAGACAAATTCGAAAAGTTAAAGTTTTGTGAACTCTGTGTACTTGGAAAATCTTGCAGAGTGAAGTTCAAGAAAGGAAAATAAAGAACACATAGATCCCTTGATTACATCCATGCTGATCTTTGGGGGCTTGCAAGGTGTCCATTACATTCAAGAGCAAGGTATTTTCTATCCATAGTTGATGATTATTCTAGAAAGTTATGGGTATTCATCCAGAATACTAAGGATGACACTTTTGAGAATTTCAAAAGTCGAAAGACTCTGGTCAAAAATCAGACTGACAGAAAGGTCAAGAGGTTGAGAACCAACAATGGCCTTGAATTTTACAATGAGGTATTCGACAGTTTTTGTGCAGCCTATGATATTGCAAGGCACATAACTACTGCAGGTACTCCCCAATAAAATGTTTTGGCTGAAAGGTTTAATCGAACCATTTTGAAAAACGTTAGATGCATGTTAACTAGTGTTGGGTTAAAAAATGTGTTTTTGGAAGAGGTTTTTCAACAACAACATGTCTGATAAATAGATGTCCTTCGTCTGCATTAGATATGAAGACACCTGAAGAAGTTTGGTCGAGATATCCACCAAATCTCGACAAACTTAGAGTATTTTATTGTGTAGTCTATGCTCAAATTAGGCAAGACAAGGTCAAACCTAGAGCTCTGAAATGTATGTTCTTTGGATACCCTGAAGGAGTCAAAGCTTATAGGTTGTAGTGCCTAGAGCCAGGTCACAGGAGGTGTATCATAAGTCAAGATGTAGTTTTTAATGAGGTTGAGATAGCTTTAAAGAAAACTGATGATATTGGTTAAGTTCGAAGATATCTAAAGAAGAGCTGGAATATGAAGAGATTTATGTTGAGGTGGAGTATAATGATGCTGAGCTGCATGACTCGGATGAAGTCGAAGAAGAAGCAGAAGCTGCTGTCGAAACTGAGGAAACTGTCGTTGACTACCTGTTGGCAAGAGATAGGTCGAAAAGAGTTATCAAGCCACCTCAAAGACTTGGGTATGCAGATCTTATAGTTTATGCCGTAATCTCTGCAAGTGAGGTTCTGGAGGAAGAACCTAGAGACTATAAGGAAGTTATGAGAAGTCAAAATAAGACTGAATGGCTGAAGGCCATGGATGATGAGATAAAGTCTCTTTATGATAACCACACTTGGGAACTGATCAAGAAATATGTTGGAGCCAGGTTAGTCAGCTGTAAGTGGATTTTCAAAGTTAAGGAAGGAATCAAAGGAGTGACATTGAAGAGATACAAGGCAAGATTGGTCACAAGGGGTTTCACTCATAAAGAAGGTGTCGAATTTAATGATGTGTTCTCTCCTACTGTGAAGCACAAGCACATTCGAATGTTGCTTGCCATGGTGGAACAATTCGACTTGGAACTAGAATAAATGGACGTGAAGACTACTTTCTTGTATGGAGATCTAGATGAAACAATCCTGATGAGGCAACCTGAAGGGTATGCAGAAAAGGGAAAGGAAGATTATTTGTGTAAGCTAAATAGATCTTTATATGGACTGAAACAATCTCCTCGGCAATGGAATAGGAGATTCAACAAGTTCATGGCACACATAGGTTTCATTAGAAGTCAGTTTGACCATTGTGTTTACTTCAGATTTCGACCTAGAAATTATTTTGTTATTTTGTTGCTTTATGTGGATGATATTCTCATAGCAAGCAACAATGTCTAAAGATAAAAAGCAATCGAGAATATGCTTATCTCAAGAGGCATGCCTAAAGAAGATTCTCGACAAGATTGGGATGTCAAATTCAAAGCATGTTCTAACTCCGACAAACCCTCAATTCAAGCTGAGTACAAATCAATGCCCTAGTCTTGAGGTCAAAAGAGCTTATATGAATAGCATGTCATATGCTAACACAGTAGGTTCTTTGATGTATGTTATGATTTGTACTAGACCCGACATAGCATATGCAGTCAGTCTTGTAAGTAGGTACATGGAATCCTGGAAAGGCTTACTGGAAAGCGTTGAAGTGGATTCTAAGGTACATAAATGGGTCTCTGAACATAGTCCTGATTTATGGTTGAGCATGTGGTAAAAATAGTAAAGCAGAAATCGAAGGGTATGTCGACTCTGATTATGCAGGTTGTATAGATTCCAAAAAATCTATTTCTGGATTTTTGTTCACTATATTTGGCACAACTATCAGTTGGAAAGCAACACTTCAGAAGGTTTTTTCTTATCAACCATGAAGTCGAACATATCGCCATCACTGAAGCTGTGAAAGAAGCATTGTGGCTTGAAGATTTTGCTAAGGAGCTGAAACTTCAAGGTCGAGTTATCACTATTAAATGTGATAGTCAAAGTGTTATACACCTATCGAAAAATTCAGCCTATCATGAGCGAACCAAGCAGATCGATGTGAGGCTGCATTTCGTCAGAGAGGTAATCCAACGCGGAGAAGTCCAAGTGCTAAAGATTTCGAAAGATCATAATGTTGTTGATATAATCACCAAGTCATTACCAAGTTGCAAGTTCTTCCACTTTATGCAGTTGATATTAATTTGAAGTTTCTTACTCTTTAATCTTCGCCACAATTGGTGATTTTTCCTCAATAGTTTCAATGATGTACAAACACATTAAAATCCTCACTAATTTGTGACTGTAGATGAAAGAATACATAGGAAGCCTACTACGATATACGGTTGCAAGACACCACTATTTTTGAAAAAACCAGTAGGTTTCGAAAATGCATTTCTGAAGACTTCGGAAATGTATTTTCGAACTAAATTTATATGTACAATTGGGCTATAGTTCAAAAATGAATGAATTGTGTATGCATGGGGTGCGTCCGAAGATGCATTTCCGAAATATGAAGGGCATTTTTGAATTTTCACGTGGTACTTAAATAATATATATGATGCATTAAAAAATTCCCAAAATTATATGGGACAGAGTACGAATTTATTGTGGTTCCCAAGTAACTTCGAATATAAGACATGGTGAATTCTGATATAAATTCTTTTTTTTTTTTGCAAACTTAAAGATTAAAACAGATTTAAAATTGATTTTAAGATGAATATGATATGAAGAGAAGATAAGTAAATAAAGACTGAAACGTAAAAAGATAAGAGGTCAAAGAAGAACACACCGGATTTTATTTAGTTTGGTCCAAAACACAAGGTTTACATCCAGTCCTGAAAGAATCCAGTCCTCAATGAATGACCTTTGAGATTTCCACTATCTCATGACTTTTACAACCGGATCGACTCACAATCTTTTTACACCAAAATTTTATGCATGATTCAGCTTGCAACCTTTAAACTATATCAAAGTTTCAAGAGGACAGCTCTATCTTGATTTACAATTACAAATCAGCAACAATTTACACTAGCTCTACTTAAGTATTTTATCTCTGAACACTGAAATAATATTTAAGTGAATGTGCAATTTAGAAGAAAAATCAGCAACGATTATTATGTTTTAATTTATGCAATAACCATTTAGGTTCCCACTAAAAAGAAAAATTGGTTAAAACAAAATGCATTGTGAGGGCACTCAAAACTGGGGAACTAGAAGAATTGTGTTAACTATGAGGTTAGAGAAATTAGATCTGAAGTTAAAAAGAAAAAATGGATTGAGACTGGAGGATAATTAGTGATGTTTTAAAGAAGACATTACATTAAAACTTTATAGTCAATACAGGCAGCCGAAATGTAGTCAGAGAAATAAAAAAACATGTGATCATCATCAACCTCACAGTGTACATAACAAATTATAGCTGAAGAATTTCTAAAACATGTAGAATAGTGCATGACCATCAAACTTACACTGTGTAGATAACAAAGTATAGCTGTAGAAGTTGTAAACCATGTAGAATGGTGAAAATGTTATTAACAAGGTAGCAGATTGCAGATTGTCCAGTGCTTAGTAACGATTTGTGAGAGTTATTACATCATTCTTCATCGTAAGAGACATGAAAATAGGTAGTGCAGCCAGATGCCTCAGGGTCTTCTGCCCCACAGCAATCATAGAACTTGGCAGCATAGGGTGGATCGTTTGGCCCCAATTCATAGTACCTTCATAATTAACAAAAAAATAATAATAACCAAATATGGTGACGTAGATAATTTGAACCCAAATTTAAAACTTAAGAAAAGTTTCTAGGCCACTGGCCTCCTTACACCTGCTACTGTGAAACTGCTGACCCGAAAATCTGGTCAGCTCAGAACTTAGTTACGAAAAAGATAGGAAACAGGCTATCTATCCCCTTTGGAAAACAATGAACATCACAACAGTATACATAGTTCCTATGTTACTTTAATTATATGCTATACATAAACATCTTCCAATTATTATAGTTTTACATGCATGACACTTATAATGGTATTGCTCAATTTAAAAAATGTAGTGGTCAGATTCTTTATGTTTTTGGTCATGAATCTCTGATTTAAGTGACATGAGCTCAAACACTTAATAAGAATTTGATGAATAAATGAAGGTCAATAGTCATAGCCTCATATTCTAGAACAATGACACTAACAAATAGCAAGACTTCACCTTTGGAACAGAGAATGAATAAGTAATCACAAAATTCAATCCTGCTGATGAGCATGCATTACAAATAATACCGGTAAAAAATTGAGACGGTTAACTAACCCATTGGTAGTTTCTGAAGTCTCTGATAAATAAACAAATAAAAATGTTTTCTACATGGCACCAGTGATATACAAACACTTTTCCAATCATCAACATGTCAATGACAGACGGAAGCTAAAACTTACTCTTATGTATAAAGAATGGACTCCGATGCTGACATTCCGATACCTCTACATATATGATAGTATTTGACATTCGTTTATCTATCTATAATTAAAATTCTAATTAAAATTAATATCTTTGATTCTTCATTGATGACATTATTTCAATACATGTTTAACACTTCTAAATATGCGTGAGATTTGTTCAAAAATGTACAATGTGTGTTGAAGCAAAGAAATATTAGTCTGAATTGTCAAACTCGAGTTGTATGAGTGTCATATGATTAATGATTGTCGGACCCTGATTTAAAGAGTGTCGAAACAATGAAAAAAAATCATTTTGGGGACACTTGTCCGACTTTTCTAACATTAGTCATATAATTGTCGAATACCAACGTTACGTGTGTTCTGCAACTTAATTTAGTTCTTTATTGATTTGGGTAGATTGTGAGTATTGTCCATTACCTCATTGCAATTGTTTTTAGTAGAAATTGATAACTCATTCCAGTTACAAAGCCACAAATTGAACTAGCAATTACTCAAAAAGGGTTTTTGAAAATCACACTACCCAGTTCAAATTAATAGCTAATAACTAAACAAAATATAAAACTGGTTCTAGAATTATATCGATAATGAGGGATTATAATCCTAAAATTGATTAATAGAAACATGTTAGGGATTAGAAAAAAGGTAGATGATCACCTTTTTTGGTCGTCGTGACGGCGACATACGAAGAAGGAAGGATGGAAACGGCAAGAAGTTGAAGAATTAGAAGCAGGGTTGTATGTTTGCTTACATCTCTTGCATATCTTTGAATAATTTGATACTTCCTCACTCTTGTTCTCCATCTCTCGAACTTTACAACACCTCTTGATCAACTCACGTTGCACTTCATAATATTATTATTACTTGTTTAACTAAATAAAATGGATTGATTTTACTCCAAACAAATTTAACATTTTAGTTAAAAATATATTTAGAATTCTACATAAGTGGTGCTTACTTTAATGATGACTTCAAAAATTTTGTATTATTTTTTAAAGATTTTTAGAGCTTACAAAATTTATATTTAATTTATTTATATTAAAAAAATTATTTTTTTATAAATACATTTAGCTTATAAACATGTAATAAGAAAGTATATAATATTTTGCATCCAATATGAATGGTTAAAATCAATATGTAAATAATTAAAATTATCTGTGGTAAAGAATAAAAATTATTTTTGAAGAAGTAAATAATTAGCTTATAAAATAAAATTGCATGCTTATCATAGTAATTACTAGAAAGAAGCATTGTTCCGTGCAATTATTTTTGAAGAAGTAAATAATTAGATGCTTTATATAAATTGAACCTCTCTATTACATTGTCACAATGTGGGGATGGAGACTCATAAAATGACATGTAGGTTGCTATTATTACACTCACAAGAGCCACTGTACTTTAACGTAGCAATTCTCTTAATATTAAGCTCACCATTTTACATTATGCCTGAAAAATATTCAAATTTTGACATGAATCTTTGGTACCTTCCTACACTATCTTAAGACATATATTAAATATACACAGCTGAACCAATTTTGTTAAGCTCGGCAGATTTCTCACATGCAGGTTAAATCATCATCATCATCATCATATTCGCCTGTGTTTTCTCTTCCAGAAGTTATGTTTAACAAGCTCTTTGTGGCTCGACCAACTGCTCTTGTAGTCTTTCTTGCAGCGCCAGCAACCACATCTCCCAGAGATATTTCGGGCAAATTCGCTCTCTCTTCAATCATGGCTGTTTCAAAACAAACAATAACCAGACCAACAATTCATTAAAATGTTCCTGGCATTAACAGGATAAATAAGACTTTTGCAATCACTAATCACCAATTTGAATTAGACATATTATATTTTATTTTTCATATATTACTTAATTGATAACAGTTGGGTTATAACAGAAATAATCCGTCAAAAAATGAAAACAGAACTTTCGGACCCATAAAAGGGAAAAAAATATCAAATAATTCCAAGGATCTCCCTAGCCATTTTTCTAATTACATGTAAAGTCACAAAGCTGCTAAATGCTGCAGTTGAAAAGCAATCATAAAAATGAAGAATAAGATTAAAGAAGAAAAACACAGAAAAACAATAAAGGGGTCTCAGAAATCATATTATACATACACAAAGTTTGTTGTTGTGCCACTGAACCAATATGTTGAATTCCAGTTTTTGCTGCTTGTAAAGCTTGAGCTGACTTGTTGACTCCTTCTGTTATTTCCTGGCTAATTGTCAAAACAATAAATGATCTTAGACCCATAAATGCAATGCAGTTAAAGTTATGACTTTGAAAAATAATTCCTATTAAAAAGGCATCTGTTTTGTATTAGCAGTTCACTTTCAAGCATTTTTTTTGTTATATTAGTCTTCAAAACGTGAGAGAAGACATGAAGATTCTGTTATAAGGAGAGTAGATCAGATAGAGATGAGTCAAACAATTAGAGGTAGAGGAAGGCCTAAAAAATCTATATGAGAAACTATTAAGAAAGATCTCGAGATTAACGAACTGAATAGAAACATGGTATCGGATAGAACACTATGGAGGAATAACTTCGTTAAGGGTGTAAATCCTGCCAATTAAAATTCATATATACATGTTTTATAGTTCCAAGGCAACCTTGTAAGAGAAAGGACCAACAATCTTGCAAGACAGAATGTCATAAAACTGTTGCAGTCTCTAGCATAGTATCCCCTTGGTTCATACTTTCCACAATCTACAAGTCCAAAACTCCACATCTTACCAATTTAAATCCATGTATCCATGTCTTGATGTTTCAAGACAACCTTCAGCCTTGTAAGAGAAAATTTCATAAAGTTGTTCAAACAACTAGCACGTAGCCTTATGGCTCATGTTTTATCACCAGTTACATGTCATATATTGCTAGAATTAAGAAGTACATGTGGTTGGTCGATTGTCAAAGCAAACTAAACAGTCGTTTTATGCTTGAAGTTTATTTTTTCACCCTCGGCAACCAATACAAAGTACAAGACTAGAAGAAGAGAGAGCCCGTTTTAATACCCATCAGTGTTGTCTATGCACGCAGATGGTGGAAAATAGCAGCGGGTAAAAATCCGCCATGAAAATATGGCAGATGGCGGAATAGCAAATGGCAGAAGCATGGCGGACAAACTAAAAACATTATTATATCTATATATACACGCACAAAAAACAGTAACATCGCCAAAACACTAAAAACAGAATTCATAAAACTTAGAAAACATAATCATATATAGAGAAAGCTTGAATTCATATCTCAAGTTCTTCAAAATAGACAATATAAGGAAATAAAATAGACAGGGCGTGTCTCTAGTACCAAGGAGGAACACAGGTAGAATAAAAAAAAAACATCAGAACAGAATAAAACGCAAAAGAGTAGTGGGAAGGAATAAAAAAGAAACAAAACAAAGAAGGAAATAAAAGAAGAAACAAAACCTAAAGATGAGTATATGAACAAAAGTTGGGTGAGGACGAGAAGAGGACGCATAGGGAGAAGAAGGAAACAATTGGTGGAGAATGGAAAAGGTTGCAGCCTATTTTGATTTTATAAATATTTAATCAGAGTTATTTGTATTTAATTAAAGTTTTAATTCTTTTGGGCTTGTTTCCCGGTCTGTAAAAAATATCCAGACAAGAATTTGCAGATTTTTTATATAAAACAAAAAATCGCAATTTCCACCCTAACACCATGAACGTCAAACTCATGGCGGCCGCCATTGCACTGCAATGCGAAATTCGGAACGCCGCAGCTTTTCCATGGTGCTGCTGCTATGTTGAATTTCCGCAACTGCAATCTGCTATGGCACCTCATGACCGCAATTCGACAACACTGATACCCATGCAAGCATTATGTCTCTTCCACCATAACGCAATTTCCACCATAACACCATGAGCGTCAAACTCATGGCGGGCGCCATGGCACTGCAATGCGAAATTCGCAACGCCACAGCTTTTCCATGGTGCTGCCGCTATGTTGAATTTCCACAACTGCAATCCGCCATGGCACCTCATGACCACAATTCGACAACACTGGTACCCATGCAAGCATTATGTCTCTTCCACTTTTGTTTTTGTTCATACTCAGTAAGAAAGAGTTGAGTATGATTTCTTATAACAGTCTAATGCATACCATTACCAATGTCCAATAGGGAATACAAAATAGAAAAGCTATGAACATCTAAGAATCTTAAAATAACCATCAATTACAAATATGTAACATGAAATGAAATACAACAATAATGGATTCAAAGCAAGGTATTGATTGTCACCTTAGTTCACTTAGTTCTAGTGTCAGATCATTCATTTCCATCACCGAAAGCCTAATGGAAGTCATGGTGCTTGGGAGTTCCTCATTGGTTGTATCAGCTAGCTTTGAAAGCGATAATGCAGCTTTTCTCATCGCCTAAGGAAGATATGAAAAAAAAAAAGTATATATGAATATTTGGACGGTGTTTAAGTTTAACAAGTAGCCTAATAAGATAAATATGAGGATGACATAAAGTATGTCAAGGCCCGAAAACATACTGCTAAATGAAGAAGGAAAAAAATTGTTTCTTAAAATGCACAGCTCATAATTTTAGTGTTATTAAAGAAAATTTATGGGTATAACCTGATAGGAATAGCAGAGTCCAAATTCGTATAAAATGAAACAAAAGATGAATCGTACACACACAAATTAAAAGAAAATGGAAGATCAATTTACACAGTATATAGGACATATGAGGCTTCTCATGATGAAAAATTCATTAATTGTGATATATTTCTCAAAGGGATGTAGAAAATTGCACTGTCCTGCCATGTTTTTAAACATTTATTTCTAAAATGCCATTGTTTTCAAGTTAAATCCCATAATGCCATACATTCAAAAAAGTGAAGATTTTTGGCACAAGGGTGCCACCCTTTCAATGGGCGGCAGTGTCTTAATTTATTGGGTGCCGCCCTTCCAATGAGCGGCAGTGTCTTAATTAAAACGTAAAAAAAAAAAATCAGATTTGAACACTGCCGCCCATTGGAAGGGCGGCACCTTAAAAAAATAGGACAGTTCCGCCCATTGAATGGGCGGCGCCCTTGTGCCAAAAAAACAATTTTTTTGGAACTGTGGCATTTTGGTATATTTGTTGAAACATATGGCATTTTGGAAATAAATTCCTAAAAAGATGGCAGGAATGAAAAAAATTCAGGGAAGTATATATCATCAAAATTGAAAATGATTGAGCAATCTGAGAATAGCATTCTTTCTAAATTGCAGACATCAACCACAGAATCCAAATCCTTTCTTGGTGTTTAACTCACTCACCAGATAACATCTCTTTGGCAAAACCTACTTAAAATCCAATGCTCCCTCCAAAAACAAATATTTTGCTTAGAGAACTGTACTAAATAGAAATGAGGAAAAAACCTTTCATTTCTCTCTCTAACATGTATTCAACTTTTGGCAGTTTGTTTGCAGTACTTATAGACCGGGTCCACTTAAATGATCAGTGCAAATAATACAAATGATGAAAGAGGAAGAGAAAACTTATAAAAAGATAGGTAGGATCTTAATTCAAAGTTCAAACCATGAAATTGCAATATATCATTAAGCTATGAAGAGTCAAAAGGGAGCAAATCTGACATATAAACTTATATGTGCACATCAAAATGTAAGCATTGTGATAACAACTTACAAGTAAAGTGGGAACAGCTGCACAAACAAGGCCAGTGAATGCCACTGAAGTCTGCAGAAACAATAATCAAAATATCTTTTATGTTATGAGCTACAAACAAATTTCATTCAAAAATAAAGAATAAATACAAGAGCTTTAACAAAAGATAACAACTCACTGAGAAGGTCTAAACTGGAACATAACTTTTTAGCAGTTATTTAATGTGACATTTACATTAGTGATTTCTTAAATAAGAAGATTTACAATAACGATAACGTATACACCAGGTCCCCAAAAAGATAAGTCCATGAAAATGTACTAAGCAAATTCACATTCAAAGCTTTATATGTGGAACTCATAATTTCAATCTACAAGTTTAAACAGAACTACGGATTGTACTAATCAATCAGTCACAATAGATGCGGCTTACCGTGCAGGCGATGAATGCGAGGAGAAAGAAAGCTTGATCGCTGAAGCTAAACTTGGGGACCTGAAAATTGAGGGAACCGAGTCGAGGGTTTGAGAGTTCAGTGTGAAAGCTACTGTTTTGAAAAAAAGTTTCGCCTGGAGGGGTACTGTTGGATCCATTAGAGGAAGTGGAACAACTAATGAAGTTGGGTGTTCTGAATTTAGAGGAGATGAATAGAAAATGGCGTTGTTTTCTGGATGTGAGAACAAGATTGAAATTTTCAGTTGTACAAGTGTGTGGTAAGGCGCGTAATGAAGAAGCGAGGAGAGAATTCATGGCGAATTAGGTTAGGATTAGGACGGTGTGTGGCGTGTTGCTCCGATTCAACTCGTTGTTCTGTCTTCTTTTTTGCTTCGAGGTTTCCGCTCACAAAACTTGACAAGTAAATGTGTCTCACTTTCTTTAAAATTATCAGATAGCTTTCATTCAAAACAAAATTTTATCACGTTAATTTCCGTTTTTTTCCACCAAAACATAATAAGATACCTAAATAATATTCATACATTTTGTTTTTAATGAAAATAAATTAAAGATATTGTAATTAAATATAAAAGAAAAGAAGGCATTAGATGGATATAGAAAGAACGTTTATGGTTGGTTGGATAGTAAAATTATTAAAGTGAAGTATGAAATATTAAAGAAACTCAAATATGAAATGATCAAATACTATTTGTACGAAATGAAAAAAAAATTCTTTAAAGAAGTTTTCAAAAAGAAAATAAAATATAAGACTTTTTTAAAAGATAAAAATACATGGTGTAATAAATTAATTATATTTAAATATTTTTTATAATATATTAATAGATATGAATATTTATAACACGGGTATTATTAAACATGCATCCATATTTATTAATAAATGAGTATTTAAATATATATTTATTTTATTTGTAAATATTCATTAAACTACTTGTCTTATATCCGTGATAGATTTTATTGAAAAAAATTTCGATTGCATTTCTTGGAGTTTTTTGAGTTATATGCTATGAAAGCTTGGCTTTGGATTGAGATGGAATTTCTGGATGGATGATTGTATCTTTAACACTTCTTTCTCTGTTTTGGTTGATGGGAGTCCAACCGCGGATTTTGTCGGATCAAAGGGTCTTCATCAAGGCGACCCTCTTTCTCCGTTTCTCTTTGCTATTGTTAGTGAAGGTATGGTCGGTCTTGTTTCTAAGGCTTCTGGTTTGGGTTTGCTTAAGGGTCTGAAGTGTGGTAATGATTGTGTCTATAATATCATGCAATTTGTGGACGACAATTTTTAACTGGACAAGGTTATTGGAATAATCTTTGGACCTTAAAGGCTATTTTACGGAGATTCGAATTGGTATCAGGTTTGAAGGTTAACTTCTCTAAAAGTAATCTTTTCGGAGTAAATATTTTTTATTACTTTTCTTGAAGCTGCAGCAGACTTTCTTAGTTGTTGTGTGTAACACCCATTTTAATTATTTAGTCATTTTATTATTATTTTAAATATTATATGTTGATGTGCCCTTTGGTAGGGTGTATTTGATGATGTTTGGTGGGTGTCCCTGAGATGGGAGGATCATTGGTGGTAATTTGGTGAGTTTATAATAATATAAGAAATAATAGTAATATTGGTGGTGGTATTAATATTATTATTATTATTATTATTATTATTATTATTATTATTATTATATTTATGAGTATTATTAATATTTGTAGTAATATTATTAATATGGAGAATATAATATTATTATTAATATAGTTATTATATTATTATGATTTTTGGTGTGAATATGATAATATAATGAATAATAGTAATATTGGTGGGGGTATTATTATTATATATTATTATATTTATTAGTATTACTAATATTATTATTATTTTGGTGAGATAATAATATTATTACTATTATTATTATTATTATTATTTTGGTGAGATAATAATAATATTATTATTATTATTATTATTAATAGTATTATTATGATTAGTATTATTAATATTAGTAATATTATATTAGTATTATTAATATTAAGATTATTATTATTCATATTATTTTATTATTAGTATTAATATAATTGTTATTATTATCATTAGTATTATTATTATTATAATTATAATTATTGTTGGGTGTATTACTATTATTATTATTATGTTGAATATTACTATAATATTATAATAGTATTATATTATATTATATTATTATTATTATTATAATGATTATTATAATTATTATATTAGAATTATTATTGGGAATATTAGTGGTTGAAATAAGTAAAATAAGAGGTGGAAGGGTTATTGGGAAGTTAGAATGGAAATATGAAAAGTCATGATAGAAACCGTGAGAAAGGAAATATGAAGGGGTAGCAAGGAGATATTAGAAAAGTTGGAATAGAGAGAAAAGGGATTACCATAGATCGTGGGAAATTGGTGTGATAATAATAATAATAATAATATTATTATTATTATTATTATTATTATTATTATTATTATTATTATTATTATTATTATTATTATGTTATTTTTATTAGTTATTATTATTATTATTATATTATTTTTATTAGTTATTATTATTATTGGGATAGGAAATAAAAAGGAAAATAGAATATGAAGGGGTGGGGGAAGTATTAGAGAAAATAACACGATAGAAAGAGGGAAGAGAGAAAGAGCGATAGAAAGAGAGAAGAGGAAAGAACGAGAGAAGTGAGAAGAACGAAGGAAAAAGGGAACGAAGAACGGAAAGAAAAGAGGAGGCCAAGAGACCAAATCCAGGAAGAATTTCATCGATCAACCGATTAACAAGGTAAGGGGGGAGAAACTTGATTGGGAATGGTATATACATGTATAGGGTAGTGGGGATTCCTTAACCCCGTAGGAATGTATCGTTGATGAAGTTTTATATTGACATGCTATTGATTGTTGAGTTATGTTGATGTTGATGGATTGAAATATGTTGAGTGTTGGTGAATTGTTGTTTTTGGTTAATTTGGCGTATAGGTTGGGTTTACGGTTTTAGGGAAGTTCTGTGTGACCTTTTTGATGTGTCGATAGATTGTTTAATTGATGACTTTGGAATAATATGTATATGATGATGTACGGATGTTTGATGTTGCCATTGTTGATTGACTGTTGGTGTTGGTTTGGTTTGAGTAAGGTTCAGAGTAACTCTAAAGTGCCGGTAGTGTGCCATAATGTTGATCTGGAGTAGAATCATAGGAAGATTGATAAGCCTAATATGCATTGGTCATAATACGGATAGTATAGGAAGTGGATAATATAGAATAGGCTTGAATCGGAGAAGAGTGAGAATTCTGAACTGTGAGAACTTGAGAAGTCGCAGGCAACTCGCTAGCACTTCGCTTAGCGAGAAGGCAGCGAGCGTTCGCTAGGTGCTCGCCTAGCGAGTGAGGTAGCGAGTGAGTCCAGTAGGTTCTGTTTGCCTAGCGAGGGTGTAGCGAGCGTAGCAGAATGGGGTTTTTTTTTTCTATGCTGTTATACTGTGTGCGCTAAGAGTGTAGTGCCCTTGGACTTTGTTGATTATAGGGGAGATGATTGAGTGTTATAGAGTGAGTACTCGGTGATAGTATGTGATTTCCGTTACTAATTATTTAAATGGATAATTAGTTGGTGTATGAATCATGCGGAGCATGGTGTAGTGATCAGTAGGATCGTGTATTCCCAAGTGGTGGGACGTGTTTATATCTTGGTGATAAAGTATGAACTTGTTTACTTGGTGATGGTACTCGTTTTCCTTGATATTGTTGGTGAACAATTGGTTAACGTATATGTATGTAGTGATCAGTAGGATCGTGTGTTCCCGGGTGTTGGGATGTGGTTATATATGGTGTTATAGTATGAATTTATTTACTATCTGATTGATTTATATGGTGTTGGTGTAATATATCTACACATATATGCATTGATGTATGATGATATGATCAGGAGGATCGTGTGCATTTAGTGTGTCTAAATATGATAGTTATGCATTGGTGTGTGCATATCATGGTGTTTTGGTGGGATGAATCATGTCTCAGGAGGAGCGTAAGTGATTCATCCGTACTCCTTGGTGGAGAATGGTGGGGGATAGATCATGTCTCAGGAGGAGCGTAAGTGATCTATCCAGGTTCGATTGAATGAACCAATGAGTCGGTACCGCATGCATGGTGTTGAGTTGCATTTTGCATTATAATATGTTATATTGTAATTTGAACAGTAGGTTCGTTATATGGAGTTGTTGGGGTGAATATTGGTGTGTTGGTGTGTTTTACTACCTTGTTTACATGTATTACATTACCAATATATTTTTGATCATGTTTTCTCACCCCTTGGTTGTTGTTGTGTCTGTGCTTCTCCGGAAGTACAGATAATCCAGGTACTTAGATAGCTTGGATGGTGGTGTGCCAGTCGAGTCTAGGATGCTCTGATACGTAACACGGGATATGGGTGTTTTAATTGTTTTATGTCAAACTTGTTGTAATCCTGTGACGTATCACTTTTTTTTTGTGAATTATAATAATAAAGATTTTACGAAATTTGGCGGATGGCCGAGAATGTTGGAATAATGTTTTCCGCTGTATTATTTTTGAGAATAATTAATAAAGTATTTTTATAAAAATTTGGTGATGTGATATCCCACTATTTTGGGGAAAACTCTGATGTTTATTTATAATGTTTATATTTTAGTTAATTTGGGAAGTGGGGTGTTACAATTGGTATCAGAGCAGGTCGGTCCGTCCGGCCAATGTTGTCTAGTGTTATTGTTTCCTGGTATGCGACATGTGTGTAAAAATACTGTCGATACATGTTGTTGGTTAACTTCATTGGTAGAAGTGGAATGATTCCAGTGGGGGAGAAGTTGTATTTCTCCGAAAAGCTACAGTGTGGTGGCTTAGTGTGTTGAGGAGTGATATCATAGTTTGGTAAAGATGGTTTGTACCCCATCATGATTTCGGCTGTCTATTAACAAATTGAGGAACTGATCACCCTTAATCTCTTGTTAATAGTGGACGGGATTGTGTTGGATGGGATAGACGTATCTTGCAAGCTTGGGTGGCGTGAGCAGTGTATAGTCTTGAGTAAGCTAAGTGCTTAAGGGATTATTTTGAGGAATTTGGCGTAAGACGGTGTTGAAGTGTCTATTTTGACTGAAACTTGGAATGAGAAGGAAAGTGAGAAAAATTGGGATTTGTCAATTAATTGCGATTGCCGGAGGTTTCCGGATGAGGTAGGTGATTTACTATCGGAGTGTGAAGTAAAGCTCACACGTTGACTTTGTTGTTGGAACGAGTCCGATATTAGTGACTCCATATGG